CTTCCTTCTTTCCTTTCTCCCTCCCTCCCTCCTTCCCTTCCTTCTTGTTAGCAAAAATGAGAATGGAGTACCTTACTGGAAAGGGATCCTCTTTTATTTTAAATATGAGGATTTAGGCTTTCAGGGCTATCAACCCAACTCTTCGTGCTTTACTGTCATATGAATGAGTTCTTACTGCAGAAGTTTCCTGTGCTTTCACTTGATTTCTCAGAGCACTGAGGGAGATGTGAAGGGCAAGTGGATCAAGAGCCAAAGGAGCTGACGTGGGCATAGTGCAAGGAAGCACTCTGGTAATGGATTAACAGTGCAGGACAGGATGTGTCAGGTGATGCTGGCACAAAGGCACTGGCATCCCGCAGGATGGCAGGCAGATGGATTTCAGCGAGAGAGGTCTTGGACGGCAGGAGGGCCCGGGAGATGGCTTAGTGGCATAAGTGCCTGCTTAGCAAGTGGGTCCCAAGTATGATCCCCAGTACTGAAAAAAAGGCCTCCATATTGGATGGCAGGAAAGATTTAGGGAGTTTGCGGAGGCATTTTTAGTGATGAATACATCAAGATGCTCCTGGAATATACTGGGCAGGGGCCTGAGTGAGATGTAGGACATCTGGCTAAGTTTGAGACTGTCCTGCACAGAGAGACTGTTCTATACAACATAGCAATAGTAGCTCACTGAGGCACCCTGCAAATTGACAAATTCCATCCTAAATGTGGGTAGAATCTAACTTTAAATAGTCCTGTGGTCTTCAACTTTCCCTGGGAGGTGAGCATCTCTTCGGGAATAGCTCTGTGCTATGGTTTCCTTCCTCAGGTAAAATGCTAAAAAGAATCTTCTCTGAAAATGAGTTCTGTTTAGCTCCCATGGTCATACTGATGATATTCCCAAGTTACCTAGACTTTGCAGAAAGTTTTCTACCCATTAGGTGAGAAAGTAATTGTGGCATCACCTTACACTCTTACTTGTTCTTGGTAATAGCAAATAAATCATATTATAATCCTGCAAATTTGGTGAGTTATTTTGCTGCTTAAAAATAAGACACATTTCTTGAATAGAATTTGTACAATTAACTGTAGTCTAATGATGGGCCTATGGAACCTACCTCCTTCAAGAAAAAAAAATGACATGCTGTGTCTTTTAACAAAATATTTTTACATCAGTATTATGTTATAGGGGTCTTTAGGAGGCTATTCATGTTGTGTTGCGTTCCAAGTCCATTGCAAACTTCTGTTTCTACAGCCTTTACAGAAGGCCTTTTGCGGGGGGGGCGGGTCTGATCTTTCTTTCCACACAGACTGGCTTCTACATCTGACCCAGATCCCTCTTTCATCTAGGATGCTGCCTCCTTCTCTCCTCAACAGCAAAATCCAGGTGGTCCCTCTCATTTCTCCTCAGTTTCCAAAATGCTTGCTATCTTTCAAGACCTAGCTTACTCTTTCCTGGGAAGAATCTCTCCATGTTTCCAGCACACAAAAGCAGTCATATTTTGAATTGTTACCGTATCACACTTTGTTGCCTTAACTTATGTTCTTCTCTTGCAACTCATGCATGCAGACGGTGTCTTGCAAAGCACACAGATGCGGAATTTATTTGACAGTAACAGCTCATGTACTGGTCTTAGCGGTAGGTGCTTGGCATTGAGAAGTAACCCCAAGGGCCACCATTTTTATGTTGCACTGTCCACGTCAGATAAAATGCCAACGATTTTTACATGCATGATCTCACTCAGTCCTCACTGGGACCCTTTAATGAGGAAGGACTGTTACACACATTTAAAAGATGACACAGCCCGGATTAGAAGATAGTTAAGGCAGCTAGTAAGTGGTGCACACGATTTTCAGTCTAACGATTTTCTGATTCCAGGAGCTGTGTTTTTATATGCAACTATACTTCACTTGTAGGTGTTCTCAGTGTCATACTTGTTTGCTTCCACTTTTATGAGTACAGTTTTGGAGTACATGATGTTCATATTCTGTGTGGGATGCTGGTGCACACATATAACACATTCTCATTCCTTTTCTGCTCTCCTTTCCCTGTCTTCACTCCCAATCCCTTCATCTTATTGACCCTCTTTCCAGTTGAGAAAGGTTTACCTTCCTGTTTACTGTTACCTGTCTGAGTTCTTTCTTTTTATTTATACTTTGTGTTTGTCTTAAGAAAGAAACCATGTAATATTTAAGCTTATGTGTCTGGTCTGGGATATTTCATTTAACATTATGGATTCTAGGACAGACCCTTCTCCTAAGAGGTACAATTGGCTAATAAATTCATAGCAAATGTTCCACATCACTGGCCATTAGAAAAAAGCAAATTAAAAAACACTAAGATTACATCTAATCCCAGAAAGAATAGCTGTCATCAAAAAACCAAATAAAAACAAATGCTTGTGAGGATGTGGGGATAAAGGACCCCTTCTATATTTTTGGTGGGAATGTAAACTAGTATAACAAAAAAAATCACTATGGAGATTCCACAGAAAACCAAAACTAGAAATTCCCATTTGATCCCGCTATGTATCTTTCCAAAAACAGTTAAAAGCATCATATTATAATGATACATGCCTAGAGTCTTGATAGCTGCTTGTGTGAATGGAATCAATTTCAATGAGTGCTAATACAGACAATAAAAATCATACAATAAAGGATCAACAATTTTGAACAAATAAATTTAGGTATAAAGATACTTATGTTTTGATAGTTTCATTTCTAGACACAAAAATCTGCAAAAATAACTTTGATATCACTGAGAAATTAGGATATTTGCTTTGACTACCTTCAATTTACCAAAATTGACATGCTTTTATTTCAAACTCACAAAACTCAATAGTTAAACAAATAGTGTAAATCAAATAGAGAGACTTTATACTATTAAGTCATAAATGCAGAGGATGATAGCAACTTGCTCTATTCTGATAGGGGACTGGTGTCAGCTTCTGCCTGCCTTAGGGTCCTGGGACTTGCCATGTTAAATGTATAATTACCATGTTTGGCTTAGTTTCGTTTTGCTACTGTGTGGTCTTTGAATAGCAGTTCATCCTTTCTTCTGCTGGGTTGGCTGTTCACTCTGGGCTTTGTCCTTGCTTTACCTGTCTTGTATACAGTCTCCCCATGAAACTAGCACCCGGACTTTTTCATGTGGTACAACTTCCACTACATAGACAATGTACCATAATTTGATTAAGGTGAATTTGGCAGTGTGTGGCTGGAAGCCATGGTCTTGGTTAGTTCTCTCTTGCAAGAGGGGTCCTACCTGTCATGTGCTTCTATTTATGTTAGTCTCATTCTGTGGCTAGAAAATGATGGAGAAGCCCAATGGTCCATCTACCCAGCTTTAACTGTCACTCAACACCATCTTCTGTTTTCATACCCAGCTGGGCCCATGGCATTGCTGAGGCAGACCCAGAAGACCAAAAAAAATTGAGAGCTGCTTCAATTATGAGTGAGCTTGCCATCCTCTGGGCATTGTAGGCTGATCTCTCAAACCAAGTTTAGCTCTTACTCTTCCTTCCCAGCCTACATTAGGAATGCCCAGCAAACCTCGAGCCTAAGCCCACTCAAATTAGGATTGGTTTTGGCCATACTTACAGGAATTGTATAGTCTGAATAATTTTCAATCAGTTCTTGAATGAAAGGATGTTTCAAAAGAAGAGCAATTTCAATCAGTTCCACATTCTTGACACCTAGGTCTTGAAATGTCTTTTGGAAATTCTTTAAAGAACAAAAATGAAGTCAATTAACTTAAAATCTGGCAGATATTAAAGAATAGTTTTATTTATTAAAAGCATTCCAATGACTTCTATGCAATGATAGATATATGATATATATTTTCCTCAGAGCAATTCTGTGAGAACATACTTGGAATTGAGAGCAACCTTTCTAATGTACAAGGGGCAGTTGAAATATATAGTGAATGTCTAAATTAAAAAATATTGCAATGAAAGGCATACTGCCACTAATCTCCCTTCAAATAGTCTCTCTAGCTTCAAATATACTTTTCCTATTGGTCTTGTGACTTTCTGAAGCAGTTCTGGAAATCCTCTTCTTGAGTGTCTTAAAAAATGTGGTCAAAATACAATGAATGCTGCTGCCCAGTGCCATCCAACAGAAGATGGGACCATAGGATCTTATGACATATCCCTGTCCACATCATTTATGAGACCTGTTCCATGAGACTTCTGGCTTTTTCCCAAAGTCCAAGTGATAATATAAGGGAAATAATTTTAATTGATGCAGGACTTGGAGACAAGCCATCACAGCACAATAACACAAAAGAGCACTTGCACTATAGTTTGAGAAAGTAGCAAGAATGATGGAATAAATGTATGCAAAGAAAAAGGAAGCATTTTAAAGAATATGAATGGCAGTGTGTCTTTTACTGTAATAAACCTGAAAGTTTTATAATATTCTTGTTTTATATTATACCTCAAGTAGTCTAACCAACCTCTGTATAAATGTTCTTTATCTTCAGGTGTCTGGCGAATCTGTTAGTATCCTGTGCCTCACTTCCTCCTCGGAATACTGTGAGCAGTTTTTCCATGGAAATCTTTTCAGTGTTTGCCTTTGCAGATGCTTCTTTTTCCTTTGGCTCCCTTTCATCTCTCCCCTCTTTCCGTTCTCTTCTTTCTCTTCCATCATTTTCATCAAGTTTGAGAATATCATCAGTGGGACCCATAGAAGAGAAGGAGGTCTGCAAAAGTGAGCAGCAGGAACATGAAGTCAGACTGAAGTACACACAGATATTCAGAGAACACCCACACATCACACTTGTCATAGTTGTCAACATCCTAGGACAATTCTGCTTGTAGTGTAGATGGTCTTACTGTGGGATGTGCCTTATTTGTCTTCACGTCTTTATATGCTTTTGAGCTTACTACACTGCTAGGTTTATCAAATCCCTCAAGAAATGCCTACTGGAATACACTAGTATGCATGATGCTAAAGCGCTGACCATGAATATATAGAATTAAAACAGGATTTACTTTTGAATTGATTACAGTTGAGCAAATTGATTTATGGCAAATTAATTTCTCAAGTTTGATAGATTTGGAGATACTTTTTCAGATACTAAAAGATAAACTGAGAAAAACCTTAGAAAAATATGAAGATAATCAAATATTTAAGAAAACAATTGAAATTGTTACTGCTGCTCTTTGAAACTGGGCTAGCAGTCTTCAACTAAGACACTTGCATTTTGGGTACAGAAATTGGAATGCCCATCTCTGGCAAAACTAAACAAAAAAGGGGATATAAATAAAGGACCATTTTGTATCTGTATATACAAAATAGTTAGTATAGATCTACAGCTACTTTCTCTTAATTCAATGAGAAGAAAGATTTGTACTGATAGTGTTTGGACAGGAAATCATGCCTTAATCTTGTCCTATGAATAACTACTACGAAGGCAACAATATGCAATGTATTAATTGTTGTAACTGTTGTATTAACCTGTTTTGAAACTGCCTCATTGCTATTTGTTTCTCAATAAATTTAATTTTAAAAAAGCCTGAAAAATATTCCTACACTTTGCCTTACTGATTATGGCTCTAAGGATTAATCCTGAATAAACAGGAGTGGTCATGAAGATGTCAATGTGGATGTGCATTTGATATTGAAACAAAACTAGACCATCTGTGATTTAATAACAGTGGGTGAAATAAATCAGACCCACATATGTGAACATCATATGGTCTCCTCAGTGTAAGAAACTGAATGCATCAATAAAATTGGAAAGATATAATAGATATTAGGAAAGGGAAAGAAACTGTTCAAAATGAAAGACTAACAGGGATGAGGGAAAGGAGAAAAGAAAAAAAGAAGGAAGGGGGAATATATCTATATATACAAGACAGCTAAGATAATTTTACCACTTAATTGCATTGGTTTGTTGAAAGGAACAGTTAATACTTAATTTTTTTACCTAATTTTACTTTTGTATAATTGGATAATCTGAACAACTACTTTGAAGGTAACAATACATAACAATGATCGTTAATTTCCTACTATCTTGTTTTGAAATACTGTATCATTTTAAATGTTTTTTTAAATTTTATTCTCAGGGCCAGGGAGATGGCTCAGTGGAATAAGCGCTTCCCTGGCAAGTGCAAGGGCCTGAGTTCAATCCCCAGTTCTGAAAAAAAAAATTATTCTCTTTAAAATGAAAAATGGGTGAATGGTGATATAAATTATATTTTGTGATGGAATCCATACTGCAATGAAAAGTATGGTATAGAATAATATTTAATATACAAGATTAAGTATATTAATCTTAATGATGAAGCAAGAGGAATCCAAGTTTGAACTCACACTGGCAACTTAATGAGACCTATCCACAAATAAACAATTATACTAGGGCTGGGTACAGAGCTCAATGTGAAGAACTTAGGTTCAATCCTTTGTATTACTAAAAAACCCTAGAAAGTGAAGTAATAAATGTATTAAGAGCTTTATCTTGTTATATGATCTATCCTTACTAACAAAAATGCAGGGCACAGGTACATTAAAGAGTTAATAGTAGTAGTAGAGCAGAGGGCCTGATCATTTATTTTATGCTTTCGACTCTTTACATTAAATTTTTGTGTGTGTCTGGTTGTGTACTTTCTGAAGATAAGGTAATAAATGTTTGATGATTTCCCATAGGACAATTAGTGTTTTGAAATGTAGTTGCCCAGATATCAGAGAAAAGTTGAGTTCTGGTTTTCTTTTCTGAAGAAAGGAAAAACACTAATTTGAAAGAGTGAACATTTTTACTTCAGTTGGAGTAGTAAGTGCATAGATTGTACAAGTTCTCTGCAAATAAGTAAATGTCAGGTGTAAAAATGAATGACATGATGCAAAATTAAGTGTTTGGTGGCCGTTTATTCTCACAAGGGCCATGGAGGAACAGTGGGCAGTGCAGTGGTGTAATGAAGACAGGTTCCTTTGCTTTTGCTTTAGTTGAGGTCCTAAGTCCTTAGTTAGATTGGGGATTTAATTGAATGCTAAAGGATGACAAATTACATATTGAAACATATTTTCAATATGTTATGAAACTTCTTTAAATAATTGGAAATGACTCTTGGTAGGAATGTGAAGTAGGCTTAAGTGTCACCACCTAGGAATCTTGAAAATTAGCATACTTGCTTCTCATCAATAACATCATGGGATAGGGCTGGCCAGATAGCTCAGCAGATTAAAGAGCCTCCTTGGGCAGACACAAGGACTGGGTCCCCATGTGCTGCACTGGCCCCAGCCAGGGGGCGTGCAGAGACAGCAATTGAGACTGGGCATGGAGGCACACACCTGTAATCCCAGCACTTGGGAAGCAGAAAACAGGAGAATCACTATGAGTCCAATCTGTGTCATGAGACCCTGTAGACTGTACTAAATACATTAAAATAATAATAATAATAATAACAATAATAATATCATGGGGTATAGAATATTTTGTACAGTGGGCCAGAGAGATAACTCAGTGGACTAAGGGTCTGCTTAGGCAAGCACAGGGACCGGGGTTCGATCCCTGGCACCGCATGCAGTGGTGGCACCCCCCCCGGATGCACTGAGCTGATGATCGAGTCCAGGCGTGGTGGCACATGCCTGTAATCCTGGTGCTGAGAAGGCTGAAAGCAGGAGAATCACTATGGGTCTGAGCTACATAGTGAAACCCTATAGCAAATACATAGATAAAGAAGAAGAAAAAAGAATATGTAGCATAGTAAAGTGGACCTAGGATGTAAAATACATTGCTGAGTGAACATAGAATGAATGAACAGGTAACATAGGCTCAGAGTAGGCAAGGTAAGCTCAGAATCTATGGGCGAAGAAATGACTGGGTGTTAAGGTGAGCAGGAAATTCCAAAATTAAACAAAGGAAAAATCTGGTCTTTCTGTAGTTGTTTCAATAATTACGGAGAGATTTATTTTTGGAAATGTTGGTATAAGGATTACTACATAAACACATTTTTAATTGAAAGGGTAACCATTTATTTCTTACATTTTTGCAAGAAGAACCCTTAGTTTATTAATGTCAGAAGTTTCTTTTAAAATATTTTGCTAGTTTTGATGTCTGGGGTTGAAGCAGAACCGATTTAAGTGGCTCATTGGGATGGAGGAAGAGTACAGAAATCCTGATCAGATCGAAGAAGCCAGATCAGCCCTTTAGGCGACTGAAGGGCATGGAAGGATGGGAGCCTTCTCTCCAACAAAGGCTCTGGGTGACAGCAAATTTGAATGTGTCTATAGAAACAAAACCAGTGATGCTAGTTGGAAGAAAAGCCAGTGCTTGTGAATAAATAGCCACTACTGGCCCGATTCCACAGAGTCTCATTATCCTCTAAGCAAGGGGACCAGTGGCACAGTCGAGTGCTGTGTTGTATGTGGCTAATTCTCTAACACAGGCCTCAACAGTGTCTAATAAATGCACTCCTGGCCATGCGTTTTGATCAATCAGCTCAGCTGCACGCCTCAGAAGGCAGAAAATAAGGTCAGCCTTGGGGAACAATACAGTCAAAACATCAAAGAACAGAATGAAACCCAAAGGCCTTTGGGAAACTTTGAACCCCAAAGGCCTTAAACACTCCTGCTGAAATATTTTTTGTAAGAGTTTTGCAATGTAGAAGAGTCAAGCTCATAATTTGTTAAATACCAGCATGACAACCCCCCCGTCTGAAAAATGAATTTTCCTATAACGTCCTTTTATTTAAAGATTTGGCAGGACTAGTCCATTACTGAAGAGAACACCTTACTCTTGAGCTTCTTTTAAACTACTCAAGAAGTCATGGTTTTACGCAGCATGTCTAAGCCACCTTGAATAAGATCAGTATAAGCAGCAGAGATAAGAAAGAATGAAATAAGAGCACTGGGGGGTGGAGGTGCAAAATTTTCAGTTGTTTTTACAGAGATCAAAAGCAGAGGTCTGACTGAATAACCTGGGAGTGAAAATGCGTAGTTGGAGGTGCTATTTCTGCGATAGCGTCTGTGACCACCTGAGGGGAGGTTGCCCGGGAATCTGGGACACAGCTAGAAAGGGCCGAAACATTGAGCAGTGTCATTGGAGACATGTTGGTGAAGACCAAGGGCAAGTGAGAATGGAGGAGGTGGAGGGCTGCTGGCTTCCAAAGGCCTCTAGGGTTATTCCAAGTCAGGAACAGGTCCAGGTCTCTGAGGGGCCAAACCTGCGGTACCTTGTCTCACCTCATGCCCACATTTGGTTTTTTGTGGTTTGGTTCATGTATAGTATCCTTGGATTTTAGAAGCCCTCTTGAGAACAGAACTCAAGGGGAGCTGCTAGGTGGGAGCGCTGACCTCTCCCAAAGCAAATGAGAGATTAGGAACAACATGGATGCTGCATCTTCTACTACCTGGTCATCACCCACTGAGGTAGCTGTTGGTTGCTGCTGTAACGTCTCTAGTACAGCTTCCTTTTCCCTGATCTTTCCCAGATGCTGCAGGCATCATCCTGGATCCTGCTATTGCTTTTTCCTGCCTGGAATGTTTGCCTTTCTCTGCTATACCTTGGATTCCCAACTCTCCCTCTTTCCCTTCCTCCTGCCTTTCACAGTATCGTTTGAAAGCAGTGATCCATCACTGCTGTTTGAAAGTACTTTATCCCAGGGCAGGTGAGATAGCTCAGTGGAATAAGCACCTGCTTAGGCAAGCACAGGGATCAGTTTTCATCTCCAGCACCACATGCCATGCTGGCCCTGCCCTTGGGTGTGCTGAACTGGCCACTGAGTCCGGGCGTGGCGGCACACTGTAATCCCAGCACTGGGGAGGCTGAAAACAAGAGGATCACTATGAGTCTGAGCTGTGTAGTGAGGCCCTGTACCAAATATATTTAAAAAAAATTTCCCATTAATCCAAGAAGGAGGTAAAAATGATTTAGCAGCAGGAGTCAATGGATAAGCAAAGGCTTATTAAATTACTAGATTAAATGCCTAGTATTTAATCTAGTATTAAATTACTAGATTAAACGTATAAATTACTAGATCTCTTCTCTCCATCTCTGCCCATCACAAGGTGTTCTTAACAGAGCAGGCAGAGAGATCCCAAGAGATTTTCAGTCAGGATACTGTGCCCTTCTTGTAACCTCTCATCTGGCGCAGAGTGGAGGTAAAGTTCAAGCTGCCCTGGCTCCCTCAGCTCTTCTCCCCCTTACTCTTTCACCCAACTCTCTTCCGGTCAGCTCTCTATTCGTGAGAACACACCAGAAATAGCCTTTGGTGGGACTTTTCCACTTTTTCTCCCTCTTACAATGTCCTGCAGCTCATCTGCTTTTTCCAAGCCTGCTTCAGGCATTGCACAAAGAGACCTTCTCTCACCACCTACCCCAACTTCTGTATTTTTCTCTCTCCTTTCTTCTGTATTACTGCTTATTTATTATATATCATAGTTACATTCATTTTGGGAGTTTGGTGTTTGGATGAAGCATATCTTGACCATTTTTAATCAAAGCTATTATTTCTTTTAAGGCACCACTTGATGCCATCCATATTTTATTAATTTTATTATGGCTTGTCCGTCTGCTGCCTGAAATGATTTTTGGTCCACTGCTACACATTCAGTGTTCTGTGAAGTTTCTCATTGCTGAGACAAAAACACCTGGAGTTAAAGGAGGAAAGGCATATATGGTGCGCAGTTTGCAGCCATTTTAGTCCATATTGTTGTAGGCAGCTAATTTAGATAGAAGTATAGGCAGTAAGACAGGGATAGGCCCTGGGAGATGTCAGAGCAGAAGAAGAGATGCCTCGCAGCTGCTGGGGAAACAGGCACCTCTGCTGTGGCTAGACCTCAAACAAAAGGCGAAACAAATACACCCACATACCTCCATAGGGATGGATATCAGCAATTGATATTTTATTTTATTTTAATGTGTTAGGTATAGGGTCTCACTGTGTAGCTTGGACTCGTAGTGACCTTCATGTTTTCAGCTTCCCCAGTGCTGGGATTACGTGCATGCACCACCACTCCCGGACTTGGTGGCCTGCTCAGTGTGCCTGAGGGTGGGGCCAAAAAGGTATGTGGTGTCAGGGATCGAACCCCAATCCCTGCACTTAAGCAGGCACTTAGTCCACCGAGCTATCTCACTGGCCCAGGAACTGATATTTTAAATAGGTATCTAGCACGTGGAAAAAGGCAGGAAGAGTGACTAACCCAACCCTCTGTAGGAAAAGTCCTGTTCTACATTCATGCCCACCTCCTGCATGAATTGCTTCCCCAGATGAACCTAATTTAATCAATGTTATCTGAGCAATTATACTTACAATCTTATTGGTTGACCATAGTTTTGTCTCACTTCATGTCCACCTTGCAAATTCCCATGTTTCCACCTTGAAAACGTCTCACATGTATACCTGTTCTATAAAAATCCCTAGAAAAGGCAGGCAACCCACTTGGGACTCCTTCTGTCCTTCTCTTGGACAGAAGATTTCTTTCCCCCAGTAAATATGTTTTACTCTTAAACCTCAGTTGTTCCTGAAATTTATTCTGCAGTTTTAGAGAACATAAACTTGCATGGAACATCTAGCAGGTTGGAAACTTATTTTCCCTGTATCAGTAATCATCTGCCTCCAAGGCAAGGTGGTGTGGCAGACCAGCCGTGCAAGGAGAAACAGCTCATGTATAGGATGTACCTGTGGCCTGAGCTTGTTTCAGATAAAATTTGCATACAGTAAGACAGACTGGTTTGATACCCAACTCTTTTTCATTTATCAGAATAAGTACTTCCTACCAAATAAAGCCTGTGCTTCCCAAAGCAAAGTTTGAGTCCATCAAGAAATCTTAGGGCTGGGGAGATGGCTCAGTGGAATAAGCACTTCCCTGGCAAGCGCAAGGCCTTGAGTTCAATCCCTGGTTCCACCAAAAAAAAAAAAAAATCTTTAACAGAGTTTGATTTCACTACAAAATGTTTAATAGCATGTTATGGAGCCTAATACCTCTTATCCTAGCACTGTAGAAGCCTAAAGTAAGAGATTGCAAATTTGAGCTCATCCTGGGCAATTTATTGACTTAAGACTTATCTGAAAAACAACTAAACCTAACAAACAAAGAAGCAAACAGCAGGTTGGGCATACAGGTTAGTGGGAAAGCCATAGGTTCAATCTCCAATACAGTAAAAGTATTTGATAGAATTTGGGTTCCCAGTTTTTAATGCATTTGAAGATTTTGTGTATACAACATTGTGAACACTGTTAGCACTTTGGGAGAAACAAAGAGGCACACAACAGAGTCAGTGCTGTCAGGAGTTTTGAAATTCCTGCCATCCTTCTCCATAACCCAGAGTTCATCCATTTCTGGAATGTCATTACCTTTTCTTGAGCCAGCATAGGGGTTTCAACTTGTCTGAAGATATGAGTTCCAATAGCCACACTGAGGGCTCTGTAGATCCCTTCTACCATGTCCGGGTGGCACGCAAAATACAGTAGCATCTGAGTGTAGTCCACCTGGGGTGGATCCTTCTCACAATCAGCAAACAGCATGAAGAAGAACTGTTACACAGGGAGAGAAAATGAATGCACTCTAGGAGTCAATGCATAGATAGGACAAAGAAGAATCCCTCCAGGAGCTTTGAGTTGTTACCTTCTAAGTATATTGAATTAGTAAATCAAAAGTATAATGGTCGATTTTAACTAAAGAATATGCCAAGTCAATGGTATGTGATAGTACTATGTCAATGGTAGTAAGATACTTAAGAAATAGTGAACTAATTAAGGGTGGTGGGGACTAACGTTAAGTAGGAGAAGGAGACTATAAGACCACGGACCCACTATGTCTTTTGGCTCATCCAGAAAAACTGGGTTCTGGGAGCTGGTAAGATAGCTCAGCAGTCTAAAGAACCTGCTTAGGCAAGCTTAGGCAAGCACAGGGAACCCAGGACCAAATGCTGTGCCAGCTCAGCCTGGCCTGTGATCCAGCAAAAACAAAACAAGCAAACAAAAACTAGGTTCTGATTCTAAACCTTACATTTTTGTCCCAGTTTTTTCTGGGTCTAAATAAAAGGAAAGGAATGATGTGCACACCTGCTGGGACTCCAGCCATTAAACCTTTAAGCTGGGTAATCTGCTCTGAACTCCTTACTCAACTATTAAATCTAAGTGACTTCCTCCAGGGTAGATGTATCTCTGGGGAGAGAGTGTGTTAAACACCAGCAGATATCTTTCTGAATGATTAAGATGACAGTGATGAAGTGTCCTATGAATCTGACAGCATGAGAGTTAGAGCTCAGGAGGCCATTATCCTCCAGAACCCTATAAAGTGGAGGGCGAACCCCTGGGGTACACAGAATACACCTAGGTGTCTACACAGCCCTTTTTGGGCAGACTACTGGCTTCCTTGACCAGCTCTTCTCAGAAGTGTGTTTAATGACTCAGAGAATCTTTCTAAGATGAACTTTCAGACTAAGTGGAAGGCTCTCAAGCTGTGTAATGTTCCACATGCCTAGAGTCAAGCTAGTATTGTTGCTCTTCGCCTACACTTGTGCACTTCCTAAATGCAGAGTATCTCCATATTGATATTCTTTGTTATCAACAATTCTTGGAGCTATGGACAAATCTAATGAGGTATACAGGAAGATAACAGTTTGAAACTAATTTCTGATACTTGACATTAAAAATAAAAGGGGAGACACTTATGAACACTCTGACAATAAGGGATTCCCTTACTATTTTTAGGGAACAAGAATCCAGTCACTAGGTTCCTTCAGGATATTGCATTTTCATCTTCCCACTTGCTTTTGAGTTATTTTGGAAATATTCAGTAGGACAAGATACAAAAGGGGAGCCAAGAGCCATGGCATTGGCCAAGAGTAGTTAGGTCCCATTTGTTTCACAGGAGAGTTGCCTTTTAGTACCTTTTCCATTTAATTGGCCATATAAATGATATTCAGTTAAAAGTCATCATTATTTTCATTAGGAAAATGAATATTACATATTGCAATAACATACAAAAATAAAATAACTGGGTGGGGAGATAGCTCAGCAGTCTAAGTGCCTGCCTTGCAAGCTCAAGGACCCAGGTTTGATCCCTGGTACTACATGCCATGCTGGCCTTCGGCCCTGGTGCAAAGCTGGCCACTGAAACAGGCATGATGACACACACCTTAATCACAGAACTGGGGAGGCTGAGACAGGAGGATCACTAGGAGTCTGAGCTGCACAGTGAGACCCTGTACCAAATAAATAAATAAATAAATAAATAAATAAATAAACAAACAAACAATAACTGATTAAAAAAACCCCTTCATACATGGGCTTTTCTATAATTATAATTTGATTATTTCTGTAATTTATATATGGACTATTTCTTTAATTGGTTTGAATTTAAAATAATTCATTAAATGCTAAAGAAAGGTGATGCAAACATGTCCTGAAGATCATTCAAGATATTGTAGCAGGCAGAATCCTAAGAAGCTTACAAAAGTTCTGACTCCCAGGAACTCCTGCCTTGTGTCATCCCACCTTAAGTGAGGGTGGGACTTGGGAATATGCCAGAAGGCTCATCCCCTTGAACAGGTTACCTTATGGCAAAAATAGAGGGAGGGTTTTTCCCCCAGAAGTAAGTAAGGTCCTCAATTCACTGATTCTGAGCTAATTCAAAAAGAGCCTGGCTGTGCACCTGATCTAATTAGGTTAGTCTTTTCAAAAATGATCTAAGTCTTAAGGGAAAAATTTGAAGCCAAGAGATGCTCTTTTTTTCTGGTCCTGGAGAAGGGTTATCATGCTATAGAGAGGGCCAAGGGCATGGTAAGGTCTAGGACCTAAAGGTCCCTGCCCTACACTGCATTTGCATTCTGTCTACAACCAAGGTAGGAAACCACTCTTAGGTCCAATCTTGGAGTTGGCCTCAGATAAGATTGTGATCACAGCTGACACCTTTGTTGTGACCTTGGAGCTGATCATGAGCAGCGAAGTCATTTAAACGTTGCCTGGATTTCTGATTGATGGAACTCTAGATAATAATGGGTACTGTACCAAGTCACTAGCTATGTGGCAATCAATGCGCAGTGGCAAAACTGAATGTGAACATACCTTGTTCTATTCAACAAATACTTCTTGAAAAGTTTAATATGTCAGGGTTGGATCTTCCTGGATGTTTAAAATGTTAATTAAAAGATTAATTTCCCAGCTCTTAGGAGCTTACTTTCTTGAAGGGAAGACAGAAAATAAAGAATTAATAACACACATACCAAGAGGCTGGTATTAATGAATACAAGCCAGCCAGAAGGAATGAAAAGGTGTTACATGCTGTCCCAGGGACAAGTTTTTGAGTAGAGAGTAAAACAATGCTTGTGGATTTTAATATGCAAAATTAAAGACCTTTTCTCAAGAAAAACTTAAGGATTTCTTGAACCCTGAGAAGGTCACTTAGTGCTCAGGTGTGGAAAGTATGACACACTTGTTGAGCCTCACAAGGACACACCTTGTTGAGCCTCACAAGGCAGCACATGGTACAACTGCAACAAGAGATGTCTTGGGGTTCCATTTTTAGGTGCAGTTTGGTCTTACAATGAATGCTGGGGTCTCTAAGGTCAACCAAGTCTAAGGCAATAGCCTAGTTCCAGGAACCCTGTGGGATTTAGTGAGAAATAGGCCTTGAGTTACAAGGTATGGGTGGCAAAGAAGGGAATCTGAGAAGGCCCCTAGACTGTAGCCCAAACCCTCCCTTCAATATGGTACACAGACCCTGGCAAGGAAAGAGACCTACTCAAGTCCTCAAGTGAGTTTTGACCCTGATTTCTATTGTGGCCTCAGTGATGAAGGCTAATAATAATGCTGCTATTGATAATAATATGAAGGTGTAAGTTCTTGTAAGCTAAATTGGTAATATTACATATAAAAACTTGCTATGATGGTTAAAATCAAAGAGATATGAACAAAGATCATTTATTGGTAAAGTGATAGACTCTTATCCTAAACTTTTAGACTTGTGAGGACATTTACATGACAGATTTGAAACCAAAGAGGCCACAGAAGTTGTGCAAGGTCACAGCAATACTCTAAGATTCTGGCCTTGGCCTTTTTGTCTACAGCTTCTCTAGGCTGCCTCCGTAGTGAGCATAAAATGCTGCCTTTGGAGATACAGCAAAGGAGCTTGGTGACAGCAGAATCCTAAGCAAATTTCCCCAGTAGAAGAAACAAAGAAAATAATCAATGTTACAGTAATAAATTTTTGAAAGATATTGGTCATTACCTCTATAAGATGTTCCTGCCTATTAAATGGCAAGGGCTCAAGGGGATTTTCTGGAGCTTTTATCTCTACATCTCCTGAAAACCACAGGCCAGCCTACAAAGAAAAGGAAAACGAAACTATTAAGGCATTATGCTGAGATGTAACCATTTCTGTAAAAGTCTGAGATTGAACCCATCTTGTTCCAGGCTCTAGAGCAATGGTCTCAGAAGCAGGCTGCAGAAATCATGAGGATGTCTGATGCATGAGAAAGTACTAGAAATTGCATTTTTTTTTTTTTTTGGTGGAACTGGGGATTGAACTCAGGCCCCTGTGCTTTCCAGGCAAGCACTTATTCCACTGAGCCATCTCCCCAGCCCCTGCATCTCATTTTGTCACATTTATTTTCACACATTTGATAATGGAGGAGTACTCATATATAATTTATAAATTCAAATTTATATAATAGGGGTGCTAGGTATATTTTAAACTCTACAACACATGGTGATCTTTGAGGGTCACTAACCTAGATTAAGCTTGCACTGGCTAAATGTTGGAGGGATATGAGTTCTCTTAAAAGTAGCTCACATTCAACATGGCCACACATGTGCTGAGAAAATACTTGTTGAGTAACTTGAAAACTAACTCAAAAGATCTCAATGGCCTCTTCTTTCATGGAATCCCTTCCTTTTTCAGTCAGTATCTGACAATATTTATGAATGTTCCCTTGATTCCCATGCTGCTTTCCTATTTCCACAGCTAGCACTCTGGTATATGGCCTCATTTCCTCTGTCAGCAGTCATGAAGTAACTTTATGTTGCTTTTGTTTCTGGACTCTCCTGGCGGATTTTTGTGTCAGCTTTTACTGTATAATATCAGTCTTCTGGAAACCTTCTCTTCTCAGAGCCATCTTCTGCTCAGACTTTTCTGATCACATCATCCCTTCTACTTTGGGTAACTTCTTCATTGCACTCTTCATTTTTCTGCACCTGGTTCGGATCACTACCTCCTCAGAGACACTCTTCTTGATCTCTCCTCTGAACTCCCATTTGACTTAGTTGTACCACACAGTTGGTATTTAGTCCATAAAGTGTTGGGTTGAAAGAATGTATCTTGCCAAGCTTGAAAACACTTCAGACAGGGAAATAGTCTCTTTCTTGGTGTTACTCCCTTGCCATAGGTTAGAGCGACAACTTCTTTTGCTGCCAAGAGCCACAAAATTGCCTGACCTGATTCAAATCTCTGTCCTGTGTCTTCTCTTTCAAGAATCCACTGTACCTACAGAGGTAGCTGGGAGGCACTGGATGGCTTGCTGAGGTGAGTCTGGGAGTTCTGTCCATTTGGAACACAGGAGCTGCTGGCTATATGAAAGCCTATGAGGGGTCAGAGCCAGAAGTGTTATGTCCAGTAAGGACTCACACTGTAAGCCTAAGAGGTGTCTGCACTAACCAGGAGGAAATCCTTATCCAATGGCTAATTTGCGGAAGCTCAGGATCTTATGGAAGAACTGAGAGATGAGGAATATAGGCAGCAGTTACATATTAGTTTTGAAGGAGGGCCACAGGACAGAATTATCTCTCAGTCTGAGACAACAAGGAACGTGGACAGCATATAGCAAAGAAGAGTTCCTAGATTTTAGACAATTGTCAGTCTAGGCCACTTATTCCCAAAAGAAAGGAAGAAAAATGAGGAGATCCCCAGTATCACCACATGATGCCAGGAAGAATGCCTGAGATCAGGAGGGCTGACAACAAATCCAGCTTTGAAGGAGGCTGACATGGCTATAATTCCTAAAGTAGAGTACTAGAATTGTGCGCACGCGAGCGCGCGCGCGCGCGCGCGCGCACACACACACACACACACACACACACACACAGTGCTAAAGATGTTCCCAGGAGTTCCTTTGAGACCTTCTTAATCTGTGCATCATGTCTGGAGAGCACGAGGCTGGTGAAAGACCCACTGGAAAGTACTAACTGAATTGATTTCTGAGATCCTCACAGGGCTGGGATTAGTTCCTTATCACCACCCAGATTGCCATGTCTTACTAATACACAGAAGGTACAACTCACAGAAGGATACTGTCTTATTAGTAGAGGTAGATGAAGCCTACACTAAGGGCTTCTCTGGACACACCGTCAAAATTCTTTGTATAATCCTTGAAATGATAAAACTGATTCCAAATAACATCACTGCCCCACTGATAATAATTTAAAAGTCTACAGAGATGTTGGGCACCTAAAATCATAAAATTCACAACCAATATGACATCCAATATGCAATTAGTAGGCATGCAAAAAAGATAGAAAAATGTGATCTATATCCAGTAGAAATATTAACAGAGAAATGAGAGAGATGATTCAATGAACAGAGAAGGATGTTATAAATTTAGAACAGTTATGTTCAACAATTATTCTCAATATAATTTGAAAGATTAAAAACACATAATTTAAAAAGATATGAAAAAGATCCACATTAAACTTCAGAATATAAAAATCACAATATCCAAAGTAAAACTACAGAGGATTCTATCAATAGCAGTCTCAGCTCTGCAGAGAAAGAAACCAGTGAATTTAAAAGCATAAGAACAATGATTAAAAACAGGATAAACCATGGAGAGGAGAAGGACTGGAAAAACGTCAGCCCTCAGGGACTTGTGAGACTGCCGAACAGTCTGAAAAAACAAACATGCAAGTTGGTTTTATGAAGCAGGCTGTGGATCTGAAAAGATTCTCCACCAAGTATTTGCAAATTGAACAAAAGGTCACAAACTGATACATTCAAGGGACCCAATGAGTCCCAAACAGAGGACACATACAGAAAATCACAGCAAGAAACACAATGACCAAAGTCAGAAACCAGAAATAAAGAGGAAAGTTTAGAAGATGCTAGAGGAATAAAAAGAGACAGACACACTCTGTGCTTCCCAACCTTCAGTCTACCCCTGACTGCTTCACTGCACAAGACAAGAATTTCTCTGAATCTTAAACCAAAGACACATTTGTATTAGCTTTTAAAAAATCTTAAATATTAGAAAACAATTTTATTTTTTTATATTCTTTTCTTTAAAATTCTCTCTCTCTCTCTCTCTGTCTCCTTCTCTCTCTCTCTCTGTCTCTCTCTCCCTCTCTTCCTCTCTCTTTCTTTTTTTTCCTTGTTATAGGATCTTGCTACGCAGGCCATACTCATAGTGATCCTCCTGTCTCAGCCTCCCAAGTGCGGGGATTACAGGTGTGCACCCCCACACCTGGTCTTGGTGGCTGGCCCTGCACAGGGCCAGCACAGCATGTGGTACCAGGGAACAACCGAGGTCCCTGCACTTGCCAGGCAGGCACTTAGACCACTGAGCTATCTCCCCAGCCTAGAAAACCATTTTTAAGTGTTTCACATACAGCAAGATCATATAAAAAAGAAAACATAGTTTCAAAAAAAAAATCAGCCACAAAATTTTTAGCAACTTCCAACATAAACCTTATTAGTAAAGGGTTGAACTTGATAAGCAAGATTCCATCAAATACAGTCTGTCTCATTGCATTCTTATGTAATTTCTCTCCAAAATAAGGAAATTTCTTGGTACTCTATCGCTAAAACATAACCAGAGGATTTCACATTTTACTTCTCCTAGAGAAGTGCTGTGTTGTGCAAATCTTAGAACATTTGACTCATTACGTTCATAACATGCATTGTCATTAGTGAAAGAACTTGATTCAACAAAATAAAGGAGTTCCATGGAGGTGTGACTGTGTGTCCCATAACAGAAGCAAATGAACAAGGCTGCACTAGGAGGAACAAAGTCAAACAGGCCTTTATGCTCACAGTTTAGCCAAGGCATGTGACTCGGATAGCTTCACAAATGTTTATTTTTTATTTTTAATTTTTCCCATTTTACAAGTCAGGGAAATCAGCACACTACAAGTGTCTGCTGCTAAGGTGCAATTAGCCAAAAGGAAAAATAAGAAGCAAACACAATAGAAACATCATAGACAGCTCTTTTCTCCTAGGAAACTTCATTTCAGCCATGTAGTTACACTGTTTTACTATTCTGACACTGCATTTTAAAAGAACCTATACAATTGTGCCCTACAATCTGTTTTCATTTTTATATGCTACAAAACAAGTATTTAGTGAGATAGCAAGTGTCCCAGATCTTTAAAAGACAGAAAGGAAAGTAAACCCAGCTCTCCTGTCTTGTGATTTCTGAGGAACAGAATTCAGGTTTTGGGGAAGGGGCAAAGCTTTTCCCAAAGCATAGTGTTCAAGTAAATATTTCTGAGTTTCTACTTACCGCAGCATCCAGCTATCTCTAAGAAATTCACAGCTTTGTTAAAGGAGCTTTCTGGGTTTAGCTCAACACTTAAGTTAAAAAATACTACCACACTTTGTTCTCCTGTTTGTACAACAGAATATTCAAATTGATATCCTGTGTTAATTGACACATACTGTAAATAGTGAAGGTTTTTACCAGTGCCCAAACTTTAAAATCTTTTTTAAATTTTATTTTAAAGGGAAAAAAGGAAGAAAAACAATACAAAACAATAACACATAATTTCAAAAGCAGATAATAGGAGATTAACAATGGAAAATATATTTGCATATTGTTATCTTCAATTAGTTGCTCATATCACAAGATACAGCCATGCATAACTGATCAGACAATATAAGCATAAAACATCTACCTGTGTACATATCGACTTTCTTTTCTCTTGCTTTTATTCTTTCGCCCATCTCAGTTGTTCTTTCTTTTGGGGAAGCTTCTTTCCCTTTCACAATATCAATTATAGATTTTGGGTCTTATTTATTTTTTCAAGTTTTTTACACTAGGAAGGCAATCTGATGTTTACACATGTGAATTTCATTAATTTCATTTATGAATATGGTTTTTAGTTGCATCCATTTATTTTTAGAAGCTTCAAGTTTATTCTTCTTTATGGCTGAATAGTAGTCCATTTTATACAAATAAACTTTTTTCTTATTTTCGACTTCAAATAAAATTACCTAACAAACTGAAAGTTCAGGACAGTGATAGGTTATAAGCTACTCTACTTGGAAGATAGAAACATTGAAGAAACATTGGAGCTCAATAAGCCAAACATTTATTCTGATTCTCTGTGAAGAATCTCCTTGCACTTCAGATTTTATTTCCTCTGGCTCAACTGCATCAACCCAAAAAACTTAGGGCTGTATTTATTTTATTTTATTTTATTTATTTTTTAATAATTTTATTGAGAAACAAATAGCAATGAGACAGTTTCAAAACCGATTAGTAGGACAGTTTCAATAATTAATACATTGTATGTTGTTGTCTTAGTGGTTACTCATTGTACAAGATGCAGACATGATATCCTGTCCACAGACACTATTAGAAAAAAAAATCTTTCTATTCATTGAATTAAGAGGATGTCACTGTATATCTATCCTAACTATTCTGAATATACAGATACAAACTGGTTGTTCATTTGTATCACCTTTTTTTTAAGTTTTGTCAGAGAAGGGTATTCCATTGTCATTTAAATATTGTAGGTGCATGAATTCAGCAAAATATTCCAATATTGATGATGTAGAGTGTGGCTAAGGAGAGTCACATGGAGAGAAAATATTCTCTCAGGCTTTCACTTAGAGCAAATTGGTCAAGCAATGGCTGTGACTCATCCACATGGCTGACACTGACAAAGGATCTACAAACTGCGGTACAGGGTTTCAGGACAAATCCTGAGGGGATTTGATTGACCTTATCAGATACAAAAGCTATATTTCTTGTTATATAAGTCTTGCTTTATCTTGGTTTTAACTATCCAGCAGAAAAGTATAAAAATGAAGTATAAAAAATAAAGCCATATTAATATGCTGAGCTGTAAAAGGCTCAAGTCAACAACTTCTGACATTGCCTGTCTTATGGAAAACCCACTACTGTCATAGACAGCAGGGCTGTCTTTAAAAAAGCACGTCATTTATTCACTGAAAAGAGAAGAGAGGCAGGAAGAGATGCAGTCTTTTCTTTATTATTTGATACAGGGTCTTACTACTCAGCTTGGACTGGTAGTGCTCTCCTGTTTTCAGCCTTCCCAGAACTGGGTACACAGGACTGCACTGCTACACCTGGTCTTGGTGGCCACGCCCAGTCTCTGTGGCCAGCTCAGTGCACCTGGGGGCGGGGCCAGCATGGCATGTGGTGCTGGAATTCAAACCCAAGATGCAGACTTTTAATGGATAAATATGTGAAAAACACCATCTTGTTTCAACGTTAGTTCTTTGTGAATATTTCCTTCTTTTGTTGCCTGCCAGTGAGATTGAATGATGATAAATAGGATGAATTAAATTAGTAGAGACACAATTGATAATTCAGGGCCCTCTCAGCTGTGGAATTTCATTTTCATTCTTCTCACATAAACTTTAAAAAAATGGATAAAATTTTCCTATAGTTGGCTTAAGGAACAGAATCCCAATCTATCATCTGTCTCTCTATCCATTAGTCAATCTATCTGCCTGAAGACCCATTCCTTTCTCCTCCACTAACTATTACTGGCTTCTGTACTTACTATTCTATTAAAATTGCTTTGGCAGAAGTCAGCAGTTTCATCCCACCTGCCCAACACAATAGGCATGTATAACGCTACTGCATTATTCATCAGTTTCCTTCGGCGGTCCCATCCATTCACAACTGCAATCACTTCTGTGATGGCCACTTGCAATTCCCTGGGGATCTGCCATGTGGGATTAGCTATTTCCACTTGACTTTGCCACAGATATTTCAAACTCAAAAGACAGTCTCACCTCTTACCACCTCCTCACCTCAAAAAGGGATATAACCCTGCTTATTTCCTCACTGCTGTTGCTTGTCCTGAGTATTGGGTATTGGACAGTAGTCTAATTGTTAAAGGCTCTTCAGTTGATCTTAATGGGCAGCTAAAAATAAAAATCATTGAGCATGACAGCATAGGAATTTAAGAGGACAATGAAGTTTATGTGATTTCTTTCAGACCACTTAGCTCTTTAGTATGTTTTGGTTTTCTCAGATGATTTACATAGAGATGGAAGCTGGTTTTCCACTGGGAGTTTTGACATTCCTGTGCTGCTTAGCCATGAGCTGCCAAAGAGCAAACCCTGACCTGAGACCTCTGTTAAGACATCAGTGAATAAGACACTCCTTAGCTCAACAATATTTTATATTACTAGTCCACCAGGCCCAGTAACAACCTTCATATACTGCTCAAAATTGATGCTGCCTGTCTGTGCCTCATCCACAGCTTGGAACCTCTTCAGGGTCTCCAGGAGCTCGTCCTCCTGGGGGATGGGCCAAGGCATCGCTGCTACTAACAGGAACTTCCAGCAGTCCACAAACTCAGTATTTACCACTAATAAAGATGTCAATTCTTGCAGCTAGAAGAAAACAAGAAATGTTACTGGAATATTTGTGTGGCTATCTTAGAGCTCTATTTGCTCCATACTTTTAAGGCTAATAGTGCAATTATTCAAATATAGGATGACAAAAAATGGCATTTTTGTCAATTTTTATAAAATATAATAAGAAATATAAAAATGACAATTTTATCAAATTTATTCAATAGTTTTTCTGTGCACGATAATCTTAAAACATGAAATTTGCCCAATGTAACATTATAGTTGACACAGTACTATCTGAAAACACACTTGACAGTGTTGTATTGGCCTTTTCTTTTTTCTGTGGGTGACATAATTTCAATGAAATGTGTACTCACTAGATGTAGAAGAATAATGAAGATATTGATGATGAATGTTCTGGTTGGCATTTTCCTATCCCATAATTTTCAACTATTTGGCTGAGGAGACCTAGTCTAAATTGTAAATGACTTTTTGAATTCCCTTGTTTTGAATAAATAAACAAATGATTGTTGTTTCATTTGGCCTAGAAGGTACGTATATATTTTATAATAATATTTCCCTCACTTTTTGATTACAGAATAACTGGATAGATGTTGGCTAATTCTGTCAACATCACCCATAATTATAATCGTTGATCACTACTGAAATATTTTTAGTTTCTTCTTTTTATTTTTGGATTTTTAGGGAGGATCTACAGGGAATTTAGGGTCTCACTACTAGATCAGACTTGTAGTGATTCTCCTGTTTAAGCCTCCCAAGAGCTGGGATACAAGCACACACCACCACGCCCAGTCTCATTTTGCTGTCTCAGTGCACCCGGGGGTGGAGCCGGCACGGCAGGCCCAGGATTAAACCCCCGGCCCCTGCCTCCTTGCAGGAGTTTTAATCAGAGCTATTTGGCTGGCCCTAATTTCTTCTTTCAAGTTCTATCCTTTTTATATTATGAATAGTTGAAAATAAGGAGATGTCCTTTTCATCTTTCCATTTTATAACATAGACTCTTCCTCTCATATACTGTCAATTTTCCATTTCTCAGGGTTTTTATTTTTTGTTAATCTTTTGGTACTTTCTTCCTATTCAGTCTCAGTGTCCCAAACTTGTCCATTTTGTATTGTGAAACAATATCTCTGAGTCCTAGAGAAGTACAAAAATTATATCTAATATACTTACATTAAGAGATGTATAGACTGTGGCACAAAACTAGAGGCTACTGTTCACAAATAAACATGAGTTAGTTGAACAAAATAACCAAAATTTATTATTACATTTCAATAGAAACAAATAGCAAAGACAACTATAACATTCTAGATAAAAATACATAAAAATAGTTGATATAAAACAAACAGATACACAAGTGTTATCACTTGCAAACAAGAAACGCCTGGTTGAAATGACACCTGCCTGAGTAACACTTGATAGTCACTATGCAAGCATGTGCTGCCCCACTGACACTTGAGGTAAGCTGTTAGGTGGTTGGGGTTCAGATGAGGGAAGGAGAATTATACATTGATGAAAAGAACTAACTACGACATTAGCTCCCCCTTGTTCCCTATGTTCTACCAATCTAGCCATCCAACTCCAAAGTGTTTTACTTTTTGGTTCTTTAACATTTGTGGTTTTTCTTGCTGCTACATAAGTAATTTACACATTGAACTTAAAATTAATTATGTACTTTTTCAACAGAGAAATAAGTAAATATTATAAGTGAGCCTAGGGAAGTACTCTACAGCTAGTGGGTGAAATGTTCTTTAACTCTTTTGCTTTTTGAGGCATTCTTAAGGAAATGATTCTGAGGAAAATCAGGGTCTGCTAGAATTATCTACTATTACTATGCTCTACTACTACTATTATTAGAATCATCTACCATTACTAGACAATGGCACCTGCTAGTAATAGAAACTCTCTGAATTGGCCTCCCCATCTTTATAACATTTCACAGACTGCAAGATCATCAGTGTTCCTTAAATACTGAGCATATGCATATGATGTGTATAAGTTTCAATTTCATTCACTGCTTCACTCAGTCAAATTTCATTGATTGGTTACTAAATGCCAGAAACTATGAAAACTGGTTATTTTAGAATTATTGAGTCATTGATAAATGAAGTATAATATTAAAACTTATAAGCTAAACAAAATGGAAGCTTACCTCAGATGGGGTGAGATGCATCCAGCTACTAGGAAGGCTATTTGTTCCAAGATTCAGGGTTACCAGATCAAACAAAATGTCATTGAATGTTCTATTTCCCATCATGCCTACAACAAAAAGAAAACTACTCTGTCATCTATATTATGCAGTAAGGTTTCTTTCTTTTGTTAAAAAGATGCAGTAATGGGTACTTGTACAATCACTTTCTCAATATTACATGGCACTGTAATCTTTAGATATTTTTAATGTGAAAAAAATCTTTTTACTGAGGCTTTCCCTTTATTCTTTGCCATTATTTCAATCAAATGTCTTTTTATTCTTTTGCTTAGCAATAATTGATATCAGATTGAGTAAAACCGTGAAATAGCACACATTTTATTTTGAAGTCTTCTAATTCAAAATAGGTTGAAGTTTAAAAAAATATTCTAAAGTTTCCTAAGGGACACAGAGTAAACTATTTTGGTAAATAAGAGATAAAGGTGTTCCAAATGCATGAAGATCACCATTGTAGGCAAAGCGACACAGTTGTCTTCATCTTTCTCTTTAGCATGGATGTCTCTTTGCTTTTGCAAAAGTAGACAGATTTGAATTGTCAAATCATTACAGGGAAAGCACTGATTTAAGCAGTGAATTGGCTTAATATCTCTATATCATAAATTACCACCAAAATTTAAAATGCTTTGTTCTTGTACATTACTCTGTGACATCTACTTTGTTTCTCACATCAAATTGCATGCACATGCATTAAATAAATAGGAAAACAAAATAAATAGATCTTCCTTTAAAAATATGTCTAACCCATGCACCTAATGGAAGTACCTTCTAGAACCAGAAGAGACTGCTAACTTGTATCCAGAAATCTTTCGGGTCCAGCATATAGCAGCTATTCTTTGTTTAAAAATAAAGAATGAAACAGATGCAGTACCCCAATGTTTTACACCTAATATTTGGTCATTGTTTAAAGTTCACACGAACTTTATTGTTACCTCTAACTCCTAGAGAAATGCATTTAGAATGTCAGGGGTTCAAATATTGCCTTCATTTGGAACATAATATTCTAGATAACACCTGTGGAATATATTTCTTTGATATAACAACTGATATCTAATTTTGTAAAGATTATTTTCCCTGGTAGCTGAAATTTAGCAAAGACAGCTTTCTATGAAACCATTTTGGTTTACAGATAAATTAGGAACAAATCAGTGATGTGCCTCAAGAGGAAACTATGAATAAAGTCTATTAAAACCATCCATAAGGGAACTAAAGTATTTAAAATTTCTGCTAAGTGTACATTATACTTCTACCATCTCTAAAGGCTGTCATAGAAAACAAAGAGTTGTATGGCAAAACTTTCAGTTTACATTGGAATTACTTATCTGAAGATCTTAAAGCAAAATATGAAAACTAATATTTGACCTACTCAAGTGGCCAAGGCATGGAATAGTATGATTTTCATATCTCATGCAATAAGAGAGTTGCTTACAAATTTAAAGATAAAAAAGAAGCACTGTTTCTATTTGGCCCTAAGTAAATCATTTTTGAAAAATGTTTTATCCCATTTTTAAAATTTATTGCTCTGATCAATGATGAAGTCAGTGGTTGTCATATCACTCATCACTTTCATCCTGGCTTTCTGAGCTTGATGAGCAATCCGAATTTGCTCCTGAGTCACTAGTCACCAGGGAGGTTCTTGCATTCCATAAGTGGATAGCTTTCTTAGGATCAAAATTATCAATATCTGGCGAATTCAACTGAATAATCAGGATATCTGTCATTGTTTCAGCCTTCATTTTAGCATGCAAATGTGAACTGGTACGTTGCATCTGAATAAAGCCACGTTGTGCTTCAGCTGAACATGCTGGGAGGGCTAGCACCAAGTCCATTAGAGTTAGAATATTTGGATACTTGTGGGAATAAATGGAATTGACGAAATCCCATGTCAATTTCTTAATGTTCTGAAATCTAGGAAGGAAGATAAAAAAAAGGCATAAAGATTGAGACTTTTACATTTTACCTAAATATTTACACATATCAACATATGTATTCAGCTTGCTTTTTTGTTTACCTGGCATAAATCTCTAATTTTAACATGCTCCATTCAGTGTCCACTTCACCAATTTTAACATTGGCACTTTCTAATACTGGTTCATAATGTGACATCAGGATAGATACCTCTTTTTCTCCAAATTCTGTAATTAAGACACAATAAATATTCACCTATACAAAATACTCAAAATAAAAAAATAATAGGTTCAGAATCAGCATATTTAAGTTACCTTGATTTATCTTTGTGGGCCACAATTTAAAGCTTCCAATTATGGTTGCCTTTACCACATCTGGGCTGGCATCTCTGAAACAGCCTTGCAGCCTCTTGATAAGATGTGTTATAACCACGTTTCTCACGGCAGAAATGTTATCTTTTCCTCTGAGGGAGTAACCATGAAAATGTGTGACTAAAGCTACCCTGCATTCTTTTGGTCCCGGTCTAGAAAGAGAAAAAAATTCACCCAAAGAAAGAATTGAGCAAAACCAGTACCTGGCAAATAATTTCGCAAGTCAAATTATCTGGTCTGACCCACCCTCGGGAGCACCCTCTACCTCTCACCTTGTTTGATATATCTGGAGCATTTCCATGGTTGCCTCCAATGTGGCAAATAGGTCAGCAATTGAGGAATTTCTGTTCTGATTGACACGGGACAGAATACTAAGGACATTAATAACATCCAGGAGGAAATGGGCAAATTTAACAACATCAGCTTGGAGAAGGCGATCTAGAAGTTCTCTGGCTTTCTGTTGACTGGTGGATCTTATGCTGTCACCTGTCTGCAATGTAAGCTGGAAATATCATGTCAGTCATCTTTCAAAATGACTCTTCCAAGGAGCTCAATACAATTATTTGCTTTTATTTGGAGAAGAGCAATGTAATATGGCTTTGCAAAATTACTTACTGAATGCAGTTGCTGCACAATGGCAGGAAATCCCTTGAGATAGTTCTGGAGGGCCTCTTGTAACCTGTGAAGCCACATCTTGTCTTCTATTTGAGAAGGCATCACAGGTAGAAGCTGAAGGCTTCTGAAAGCAGTTTTCAGAGAACTCTTATGAAGAGGAGAGTTTTGATAGAAGTGACAGATGCTGTGAAGGAGTTCTTTGACCTCATTGTACAGAGGAATGCTCTGGAAAACTGCCTTGTAAGACAGTTCGAGATGATGTGCAAAGCAGTAGACAGCCTGCACACATGGTTGGATTTCTTTCAGGAGCAAGGCTACTCCACTCTCCTGCTCCATGCCAAAGGTATCATCACTTCCAAAACCAACCAGTTTCTTTGCCCAGTCTTCACTTGACAGCCTAAGTTGAAGATTTATCTCTAGAACTTTTTCAATGGCATTTCTTATGGTCACAGAGTCCTTCCTTTCTACTATCTGTAAGCCAACAATTTGACAATACACTTTTCCTGCCTGAGCAAACTGAACATAGACAAGTTCAGCTTCCTCCATTAAATTATCTATGATTCTGTCACTGATGATAGAGAAAAATTTAGTTTTCTCTAGTTTTTCTTTCAGATTGTTTCATTCCACTTCAGCAATAAAATATGTAAATGTCCTTGCTGATTTCTTAGTTCTGAAGACTGGGCCAATATCAACACCTTTCATGTCGTCCAACTTGCACATCCAAATAAAATCTTTGAGGGGACGTCCTGTCTTAGCAAGTGCATGGCATGATCTAAATAAGTTCTCTACTCTCCCAAAGGTTACTTTGCTCATGGTCCTCACTGTTAGTTCAGTGGCAGCTCTGCTCACAGGAGAACTAGTTGTTGCTTCCATTAATGAAGCTTTAGCATGAGCCTCACTGATGTGATGTGCATTGAGAAATTCAGTTGTAAAGTTGTCGGTGCCGTAAAATAAGCTCACTTGATTCCCCGCAGACTTCACTCCATGCTTTCGGCACAGTGCGCAGAACATAAGATTTAATAGCTCATCATATACCAGCCAAGGATATTTTTTAAGCCAAATTTTCAAAAATTCATTGTTTTTCCTTGGAAGATAGTGGTCAATTTTCCATTGTCTTCTCTGTTTTTCAGCAACTTGACTTATATCATCTGGAGGATTCCTGCCTTTAAAACAACTCCATACTGTTATTTTTAAATAACCACAAGGCCACCAGTTTCCTTCATTGCCCCACCCCCAACCACACACAGTTGCTCATTATTTCTGGAGAAAATAGATTGAATGTTTATTACTTATCATGCATTTTACATTAACTGGTTTATATAATTTAATCCTTACAAATCCATTATTCCTCTCTTATAGTTAAGGACGGGGCCAATTATTATTATCACCATTTTGTGGATAGGAAAATTAATGTACAAAGCAATTCATTTGTTCAGTGTTGCTAGGTGCATAAGTGGGGCACAGGGTTCATTAGTAAGCAGAATTATTGCTCGGTCCTTGTGTGCATGACACTTACTCTCATGGCTTCTTGTGTGGGGAAAAGGTGCTATGGTCTCCACTTAAGAGTCCATTTCTCCACACAAAAGTGGGACACTTTCTTCTGCCACTTTCCTTCTGGGGATGATGAAGAATATGGCACATGCAGCAGTGAATGCCACCTGCCAGAGCTCCCCCTCACTAGCAACGACATAGCAACCTTGTTAATTGACAAAAAAGGTACTGGGATTTGGGATCTTTTCAAGGTAGTATGGAAAGAAGCTATCACTAATGCTGAATCTTGTTTTCTTTTCTCAAAAAGTATAATTTTTTTCACACACACATGCATATGGATAAAAGGGAAACAATACCAATTCCACAAAATAAAGTCCTCAAATACCAGTTTCTCCCTGAGGGCACAGAACTTAACTTATATCACACACTCGTGTACTTAGCCCTTCCACAAATTCTTTATCTTAATGATTATTATATCACAGATCTTCCTTGACTTATCAAGAAGTTATAGCTCAAAAAAGCCCATTTTCAGTGGAAAATATCTTAAATTGAACATGTACTCATCGCAACTAACCTGAATGTCCTATCTTAGTAACACAGTACACTGTAGAATATAGATCATATTCTTGTACTCAAGTGGATGACTTGGATCTGTGGCTCTTGACTGCTGCTCAGAATCACCAGGAAGTGTCTTACCACATATAGTCAGCACGGGAAAAGATCCAGATTCAACGTTTTAATCTTGACTCCTACTGCATGTGTACCACTTTTGTCCCATAGTAAAGTCGAAAGTTGTAAGTTAAATGGTTTTAAGATGGGACTCATGTGTTACATCATTATATTTTATCATATAATGAAAAACTATGTGCCTGTGTGATATCATATTAAAATATCTAATATTGGTACAATGCCAGTGCCTCCTTTTCTTTTTCTCAATGCCTCATGGTTCTAGGTTTTCACCCCTCAACTGGGCTGTACAGTATCCTTCTGATCAGAACTATACATTCTTCTTTTGTGCCCCATTACCAATAGTTGCTTGCTAAGCACCGAGACCTTGAAGAAAGTAAATCTCTTTCCCTAATTAATTTTCTCCATCTCATTACTCTTAATTTCTTTTAATTGAAAATCTTTGACACTGGTTAATATACCTATGCTTTTCAAGCCTAATTTACATCTAACTTTCTCTTTGGTGTTTCAATGAGTCTTTTTGATCTTGTTAAAAAATATCTCTATGTCTTTCAATTTCTAAATGTTACACTACTTCATTTTAAATTATTTTCCTTGTAGTTTATAGATACTACCTTCACTTTGTTAGCTGAGCACTGCAGTACTTGCCAGTCTTTTAAAGTAGGCCCTGCCTGATGCATGCTATACAGGCAAAAATGTTGTTAAATAAATGAGTAAATGTGTGAAAAAAAATCTCTTGTCATAGAATAAAACCTTAATTTCCATTTCTTATGTTTTCAGATTTAACTTGGCACTTATGTTTTTAGCTTTTAGCTTTAGCTTAGATTTTTTAAAGACGTGATCTTGAGTTCTAAACATATAATTTATTTCACTTGCTAGAAAAGTTATTGGGCCTCATGAGACTTACATCTTCTCCTGAAAAGACCCCTGAAACTCTGTCTATGGTTTTCTCAGTTACAAAAGTCTCTAGATTCCCTGTTGAATTTCTGTGATCTAAATTTGATCTTGTGAAAGGAATTCACAATAGAGAGACCCATAGGATAAATGCCAGTCTTGGTCTTCCTTGTTGTCACATGGTGAGGTACTTCAATTAATAATATCCAGGCCTCTGTAGTGTCCCTTCCCTAAGGAATACATCTGTATTTCTTGACTTGGGACAATGTTGCATTGGTTTAAATTTCAAATTGTTTTAAAGATAAAAATATCTTCCTATAAATATGTAATATCATATTTTTACAATTTACTCAGAGTAATTAAGCCTGGAAAAATCCATGGAACTTTCTAATTCGCACTTCCAGGCAACAAAATGTATCTTTAAGGTTTTGTAGAGAAAAATATGTCTGTTCTTCTCTTAGACAGCCTCGTTCCCTTGGAGTCCTTTCTTTATGTCAGCTGACTATAACTGTTTTTTGATAAATAATCTTTTGAATGTACTTTGAAAGTCATTCAAGACTTCACAATTGACACAAACTTTCTGGCCTCACCTCCTGCTCTTTGTTACAGGGAGGCTGTGTGTTGTCATTCAACTTCAAAGTCTCCATGTCTGCTCCATTTCTCCTTAGCTTGCAATACTTTTTCCTGGTTATTTCCCTTAAAGGTTCAGCTTCAGAAGCCTCCTCCTCAGGGAGGAGCAAGAACTGCTCTTCGATTGGCTCTTGTAAGAGCATGGAGCTGAGTGACGCAGCTCAGCAGTAGAGCTGAGAGTCCCGTATATGCTTCCTCTGCCTCTGAACCTGTGAATGAACCCAAGGTTCTCCAGAGGAACACAGTATTATAGGCTTTGAACACCTAAATGCTGCCCCTTTTGAAGAAGGAGTGAGGGTATGGAATTTGCTGGACTGAGTTCTCTCCAGTAGCTCCCAAGTAGAAGTCAAAAGAGCTATGAACCAAATCTCTACAGGTATTTAAATATACTGTTAAGTTGGGCAAAAAGCAGTCTAATGATTAAAGCAGGGACAGCAAAACACTTTCAAAAGTGCTCTCACTTGGGGATGGAAGTATTTTAAGTTAAATCTCTGAAAAACATCAAACAAAAACTTGAAAATTTCTAAAATGATGCATGTATACTATTGCCTACTATTCTAGAATAGTTCGTCTATATTGGAGGGATCATATACTTTCAAGGCATCTTGCAGAGCTTTTGTCGTTTCCTCTGGAATTAGTTCATTAGAGCTGTACAATAGAAATTTACAGCACGTAAGGCACTAGCACATCAATTTCTCATACATGTTTCTGTCATGCGGTATGCTGTGTAATGTTACTGGAAAATATTGAAAGGTTTAGCAGCACTGTTTCAAATGCTTTGGGTAAACCCAAATGAATGACATAACTCATTAATTAATGTAATTTATAAATTTGTAATATGAATAACTGAGACAGGATAATGAATTAAGTCAACCTGGTTGATAACTCAGCATTTGAATCTCAGTTTTGCTTTGTCATTAGCCTACACAACATTATGAATGCTACTAACTTTCCTTAGGTAACAAAAATGCATCTATGAAAAGAACAAATCTTTAAAAAGCCATCTATTAGTGCTATATTGGCATGATAATGTTGTAGAAATTTATTGGTCTGTACATTTTCAAGGTTTATTTTCCTGATGTACATTGTACTTCAATAAATTTTTGAAGTTCTAAAAGTCCATGTTCAGCACAGAAAACTTGGAAAATACTATTAAGAAGGAAAATAATAATATCCTTTAACACTCTTCTACAAAAAGTGAGTGGGTGTATATGATTAAAGGTAGTGAACAATAATTGCAGAATTGCATTTGAAAGACTATGCTCTGTGTCTATTTTATGGGGACAAGAGAGATGAGAAGGAGTGAGTGATGGCAGATTCTGTTAAGGAGGACAATGTCAGTATTTAAGGCCTGAATTTAAAGGTGCCAGGAGAAAACTTCCTATTCTATGTCCATTAATTTTTCCCTCCTTTTATAATAAAAGCAAAAATAACAATGAACAATACTTGTTATAAAATATGTAACACAATAAATGTTTTATATGTGCCTACAATAATACAGGCAGTATGTATCTAATATCTAATGTCTAATATATAGCATACCTCTTCCTTAAGATCATAACTCACTTTGAATCATCAAAATCCTTAAATCACATAGCATTATATAGTTTTGTAAATTCTTTCCTAATGATAACTTCATTCTAGGTTAGTTTTCTAATCTGAGTGGAGGCTCCTTAAATAAAAAAATCCCCTTCCGCTCATCTGTGGTTCACACAGTTGGCAAAAGAATGCTTCATCTCCTGACCATTCCCCTCCCAGGCCCAGCTGGTCAAGGCTGAGTTTGGTAGGTCCTGACCCAAGGAGCTGAAGCACACTACCAGGCCCAGTGGAGCCCACACCTAGACCCAGATCTACAGGAGCATCCTCTCAAGACATCTTCCCATCGCCTACCTCAGAGGTACAGGTTTCCAGGCAGCTGTTCTCTTCAATTTAAGGATCTTCTAGATCCTTGCCCCCATCACTCTTTACTCCCTTTGCTTCTGTTATGGTTCGTGTCTGGATGTCCCCCCAAAGCTTCATACAGTTTGAGTTAGTTCAGGACTTCACTCCATTCCAGTAGAGGACCCTCAATTGTCCCTCTAATGGGGTTTTCTGGGTCCAGCCTGGCACCCTGCTATGTTCTAAAAATACATAAATGCTGCCTATTCATATATTTGTACCTCAAAGGGCTCTAAAATTAATCTTCTAAACGAATGCTATTTTTGTGTGTTTATTTGTTTGATTTTGATTTTTGTTTCTACCAGTGATGTGTGGTTTGCTGGACTAATTTTTAAAAAGTGTCCATTGAAGATATATTGGAAGATAAACTAAACCTGTTTATGAGAAGCAATTTAGATCAATGTGAAGGACTAAGATCATTAAATCTGAAGAGTTTTGAGTAGTTTATGACCACTGGCAAATTACTTAACGCTGTGTGACATAGTGTTCACTGTTAAAACATGCAATGCTAATCCTATATGATTGATCTGAATTCCATGTGGAGTTCACTGAAAAATACTTGGAAGCAGGAAAAGCCTAAGTTGCCAAAGTCTGGGCCACAACAAGGAATTAAATAATCTGTGTACAGAAAATAAGAATCTGCACATATACTTTAACAAATAGGAAAATATTTGTTAAAGCATTGTGTAATTTTACTCAGAGTCCATGAAACATTAAGAAAAAGGTACCTCCTCTACTCTTTTGTCTCCTTTCACTATGTAGACAGAAGCACAAACTCATGATTCCAAACTTAAACCTAAATAAAATCACAAAGATTTAGTCTCCTAACTATTCAATAAAGCTAACAATCAGTTTTACCAACTTGCCAGCAAGGGTGGACAAGAGTGAAGCTACTAGAATTGAAGGGCATCATACTGCTCAAGCATTATATATCCATTGGGATTTCCTGCTGCTTTAATTCAAAGTATGTTATGCAAAGCACATACATAGCTGATAAACCACAATGAAGCCAGATGTCTTTGAGGTGACTTTACAGAGTTGACTTTTCTTGTGGAGAAGTAATGGTACCCCAGTTAATCATAATCTTTTTTTGTGTTCTTTTAGTATTAGTTTTCCTACCTTTAGGGGCTATATCTAAGAACTGATCTTCAAGATTGTCAAGCTGTTCGATGGTCATGGTGCCATTTTCTTCCTTTTCTACAGGAGGAGGCCGAGCTGGTGGAGGAGGATCTGGGAAGACTTTTATATTGTCATTAATGAAGAATTCTTCTTGGCCTAAATAAAGCTCCTCCTGAATTTTTGTGGCTGTTTCAATGTGGTAGCGAGCTACTTTAGTTAATTTTTCTATACTGAAAGTAATAAAATAAACAGGGTTATTTCAGTTAAAGATCCTATTAAATTAATAGTGTTTGCTTATAAGAAATACACAAGGGGAACTGCACATCAGAGAGGCTCAGTTTGGGACCAGGCAGAGGGGAACTTCAGCAGAAAGGCTCGGTTTGGGACCCTGTGGTGGAATTTCTTGCAGAGAAGCTAGGTGGAAGACCCAGCAAGCTAAACCAGGAACAGAACAACTAAGCAGTGGGGCACAGTGGGTTCACTTCCATGGACCACAGCAGGAAGAAGCCAAGCACAGCAGCCAGACCAAAGCCAGGCCCAGCTGGTCAAGGTTGAGTTTGATAGATCCTGACCTGGTAAGCTGAAGAATACTGCTTTAGACCTAGACCCAGATCTGCAGGAGCATCCTCTCAAGACAGAGGTGGCAACAGGTAACTGGGACTAGCCTGCCTGGCAGAACTCCAGGTACATCAAGGGGAGGTGACCAGACAGGACTTAGGGCCACTAATTTAAATACAAATTCCCAATTAAATATCTGCTTAACTATGCAGCCACAAAGATTGCTCTTACAGTCTAAAACACAACCCATTATCTACAAAAGTTTGTCAATTGCTAAATCTCACTACCCATTATTAGTGTTTCTAATTTTATTACTATAAATAGAAAATCGTATCTGCCTTAACCACATGTTCTTTCTTGGGTAATAATATGGGAGGCACTTGGATAATAACTTCACCAAAGCCCTACACTGAAGGACTTTGTGCAAGATGCACAATCTCAATGCAAGATGATACTGTACCAAACAGAAACCACTATCTCACTCTCAATCAATAGGGCAAAATCTTGGGACACACACAAAACAAGAATCTGTGAAACAGAAGAGATACCTAAAGAACAGACTCTTTACAGAAAGCCTCTGATCACAGTGATACAGCTAACTACTACCATACTTCAAGAAAAAGTTACCACAGAAATCAAAATAAACAGTTCTCTCTGAAATACAAAATGACAAAGAGAAACAACTGAATGCATTCCCAGGCCCTGAGCCCACCCAGAACAAATGCAGGACAAACTAGCATAGAAAAAATTACAAATAACACACCTGAAATCTCTGAAATACTATTGTTTAAAGTAAAGAAACAACTTCAGAAGGCTATAGAGGAGATCAGATCAGAGATAATCTCCCAAGAAAAAAAGAAATGACACCTATAATGAAAGAATTACTAAATGTTTCTAAATAAGACACTGATAAAAAATAGAGGAAAATAGAAAAATGATGGAAAACTTGAATGAGCAATACAGAAAAGAAACAGAATGCATGAAACAGATTCAAGGAGATGTTCAGGAGATTAAAGGCTCAATTAAAAGTAGGTAAACCACTTTCAGACCTTGCAGATACTGTTGCAGCTAACAAAAATGTAAGGAAAGATCTCTTAAAAACAAGTAAGATCCAGGAAATAGTAATTCAACAACTGCAAGACAATGCAAGATGAGCAACATGAGACTAATAAGCATCAGTGAGAAAGAAGGCTTCAACATAAATGATATAAGAAGAATATGGGCAGAAGTAAAGGCAGAAAACTTCCAAAATATGGGGAAAAAACCTGTTTATTCAGGCCATCAAGGCATACAGAACTCCAAATAATTTCAACCCAATTAAAACTATACCCAGATATAATAATAAAGATCTCAGAAATTCATCAGAAAAACAGCATACTAAAAGCCACTAAATAAGAGAAACAAATCACATTTAAAGAAAAAACCATCAGAATAATGGCAGATTTCTCTGCATAAACCATCAAGTCAACAAAAGCATTGAGTGAAGTATTTCAAGTCCCACAGGAAAAGAAATTCCAACCAAAACTGATACCCTGAAAAACCCTCTTTCAACTTTAGTGAAGAAGTGAGATACTTCCACAACAAAGGACAACTAAAGAGTTCATGATGACCATGCCGACCCTACACAGAGCACTAAAAGATATTTTTAAAAGGGATCGAGAGAGAGAGAGAGAGAGAGAGAGAGAGAGAGAGAGAGAGAGAGAGAGAGAGAGAGATTAAGACTTTTGGGGGATCACCTACTTGGGACCACCCTCCTGTCCCTCTCTCAGACAGGAGCTTTCTTTCTTTCAACAAATATATTCTGCTCATAAAACAGGGATCAAAGTGAGCACAAATCCAAGAATGAGAAAGGAAAGAGCCCACCAAATAGCGCAAACAATTAAAAACGGGAGAAAAGTAGGTAACCAACAGAATATACCACGACAAACATTAGTCAATACATATCAATTATAACAATCAATGTAAATTGAATCAATTCACCAATTAAGAGAATAGATTGGTAGAGAGGATTAAGAAACAAAATCCAACAATATGCTGTATACAAGAAACACACTGAACTCATAAAGAAATTCGTAGGCTGAAAGTCAAAGGATGGAAAAAAACACTGCATGCCACAGGACCTCAGAAAAAAGGAGGGGAGACCCAGTCCTAGCCCAGGTCCGGTGAGTGTGTGGGAGAGCTTCCTGCTACCCTGCGCCAACGGAACCAGTCCCAGCCCAGGCACAGTGTGGGCCGGACCCTCTCCTACCACCTTGGGCCGCCCCCCCC